GCCTGCCTGGGGCCCAGGGCCGTGGCTGGCAGCCTCACGGGTTTCAGGGTGCCCAGCATTTTCCAGCGGCTTTCTGCAGTGTCCCTGCTCATCCTCCAACCCTCAAACAATGTTCAGGTGATCTGGGGATGTGTTGGTGGTCGTGTTTGTACGGAGAAGCCCAAGACTGTGCAGGTACCTGAAGGCTGACTAGCATTTCACGTGTCTAGGCAAAGTGTAAGTAAGAGAGGCTCTTGGGTGTGCCAAGTATAGTGTGATCTCAAAAGCAAAAGACTGCATTTTGCACTAAATTGTCTTCTCGTCGCAAGAGAGGCAACGTTACTGGGATGGAGAAGGAGTAGTTCTTCAAAACTTAAAAGGATTACTTTAAAAACGTGTCCTTCTTGTCATCTGTGGAACAGGGGAACAAAAAAGGGGGTGGGGGAACACTTCAAAAATCCCAGCTGAACGAAAGCACTGGTTACAAGTTCTTTCCACGGTCTTGATGGACTGTCCTGGGTGCTCCCAGCTTTTGGCTTCCAGTAGGCTGATCGGCAATACCTGAGAGAGCAGCTGATGGAAAACCTGCAAGTGGTCAAGACTGTTCAGCAATTGCCAGAGCACAGATAAGTGTCATCTACTGAACCATTAGTGTTAAATCCTGGGGCATCTAAAAGAAAAACAGCAAGCTTCTGAGCTGTCATGGAGGGCATTTTCTAATTAATGAAATGCGAACGATACAGATGCAGTGGAACACGAGAAAATTCAGTAAGCCATACCAGATACAGTATCATCAAATCCTAGTCCATCAGTTTGGTACATCTTTCAAGCATAGACTTCCAAGAGCCATTCATAGCTTCAGACTGACACCAAAATGGGAAACATCACTAAGTAAGATTATGTTCTCGTCTGCCAAATTAATTTGTTTAACAATGAAAACCGCTGAACAGCTGGGGCCCAGTCTGCCTTAAGAAATCAAATGGGTACTTTTTTCGAAGTAGAGCTTGGCAAGTGTATTATGACATGGTACGGCTTTTTTCTGTTGCATCATTAAGATAAAATTCCATTTATTAAGGGAGCCATAAAGTATTGTCATGTGTAGGACTTTTGCATGTGGCTAAGAGCCACGTGTACACTTGGAGTCCAAGGAATGAAATTGATTTGAAGAAAGGATGATTTGGTTCAAGGGATGGGTACATATTAGGGATTTCTTAGTTCGACAGTAGCAAATACGCAGGGTAAGATCCAAATTCCTAATTCATACGGATCATATCATAAATTCAGTCTTTGAGAGAAAATAAAACACAGGAACATGAATGTACATGCAAAATGTGTATTTTGCTTAAAATTGTTGCTTGCAAAACAGGAGAACAAAGAGTCATATATTTAGTCAGCCCTTTAATTTCACAACGCTCAATCAAAGAGGGACAGTATCCCCAGTAATTGCTCTGACAAAGGGATTCCCCAGAATCTGGGACATTATCAGTTTACAATTTAAAGAAACTTACAACAACGATGACTGACTAAAGAGAGAAGCTTCTGAGAGCATTAGGAAAATGGAGGGAAAGAGAGTGAGAAAGCGTGAAAAAGAGAGCTTTGCTTTCTCATAGGAGTGAAGTGAGGAGAATTGTACCTGTCTAAGTTTTGTAGTGAGTGGGGTCAAAAGCCCTGCTGTCTGGTTTGGACCTTCTCACTTTCCTTCCTTTCTTCTTCTACTTCTCTCTCTCTTGTTGTATGCAGACCCCATAGTTATCTGAAAAACTTGCATTGATTCTTACAGTCTTTTAACATTTTCATATGTTAACAAAAAGAGTCGCTTAAAAGCTCCATTTGTGGCAGTAGCGGCAGAGAATAAAAGATTGCTGTTAATCCTG